TCAACAATATTGAAAAAGTTAATAATAGTTCCATTCCCAGGCTGACCTACGACTATACAATCGAAGAAAATAAAAAGAGACCAGGAGCTGTACTCCGGCATTTATTGTAGTTTTTAACCCAAATTTTAAATTAACTTCTCACACCAGATTTCATAAAATTCAATTGTATTGTAATACTTCTTCTATGAATTTTTAGGACACGCATAAGTGTCGCCATCTACTCACACGGACTCACACGGACTTCAATTTTTATTATTCCACTCCATATCCTCAACGCTATTACGACCATACACAATAGTTATTTAGGCCACATATTATCTCAGCACATGATCCTTTCACTATATTGCGTTCTCCCCATTTTAGTCTTAAATTATTATTCTAATTATTATTTTATCCTAATATTTTTTCCTAGTTCTGACTTTAAAGTCAAATCCTCAATAAGTTACAACTTTAGCTTAGCCCCTCCCATCCAGTGCCTGACAAGCAAGATTGTGTACTTTCTTTACAGATCAATCATTTGCGTACGTGACTAGTAGCTCCTCCCTACCCTTCCACGACCATCTCTATGCCATTCCATCCTCATTTGAGCACCGGCCAACGTAGAAGTAGCATCACTTAGGTCTTACTCGCAGCTCCTGCCATGAACGCGACTAACTCTCCATGCTGTTTATGCGAAAGGCTCATCCATTGATTACCACGTCCACTGCTTATCACGAGGAACTCTCCTCTCCTAAGTAATATGCCATGATATGCCACCTTACACGTGATAAATACAGGATGCGGTTTTCCAGCCGAGGCGCCTGAAGAAGTGCCCAGCACCTGAGCCTTCAAGATCAATATCGCAAAATAATTTTAAATTGAGCATATCTTTAGTATTTCCGATGCACAGTCTCACGCGCTGGAGATAAAAATGTTTTTTCTGCACAACTTTGCCATTGCTCGCTTTGAAATCGTAGAATTTGTTAATCAACAATTCGTTAAAGTTTTACAAAATATGAAATCGATAATGAAAAAAATTTCAAATTTGGGCTTTCAGATGCCCAAATTCGCGGTAGGATTACGTCATTCAAAATTGGATGGCTCTAGGTACCGTTGTTTTATTACAATGCGAAAATGTACATACATTTATGCAGATTCTTCACTATTTGATTTTTTCAAATATAATACAGGGCGATAATATTTGGTGGCAACAGTTTGAAAAGTGAAACGTACATTCAGAGTGATTCGACGCAAAATCGCAAAACGAAGGCAATAGTCCCTCAGGCACAAAGCCCCTTTGGACTAATAATCTAATATATAATATATTTAATCTAATAATTATATTAGTTTAAATTATATTTAAAATCACTAAAGAAATAAATTTTAATATATTTTCTTTAATTATTAATAACTTTAATCATTAATTATTTTAATAATTAATGATTTTATTTATTTATTTCTTCTTGTTCCTCTTTCCTGAGGATCTACGGTAGGGCTCCGGCTCTTCTAATTTTAGAAATCCATAATTTAACTTTTCTGCTCAATGTATACTAACATCTCTTGGAAGTACACATAGGATTTTAATTGTTTTCTTCAATTTTGATCATTTAAATCGTTTTCCTTTCAATTATTGTAGGGAAATATTGTTGAACGAAAATAGAAGATGCTCTTTTTTTTTGCCCAATCATTTTTTAGGGTTTGAAAATAAGATCAGCTACTTTCATTGCCAATGCCTCCGCCCTCGTATTCAGCCAGATAAGTTTAAAATCTTAGATAATTTTCGACAGCTGAAAATTTTACTGACATGCTACATACGAGTATTTGTTGCTCCAGTTGCTAAATGTAAATAACTTGTCAATGCTTTGGACATGTTCTTTATACACCAAAATTTACATAGCTACGATATTAACTAAAATAACACGCCGAAGAGCAAATATTGAAGATATTAAAGCTATAAGAGTTAAACTACAATAACACGCCGAACAAGTATTAATTTAGAAGTCAAACAACAAAAATCAGCGTAATGTTTTCACCTAACATTATTAACCAAGCAGTTAAAAAATCTCATCTCAACACATCAAAAGGCACACTCTTGTTTTAGGAGATTATAAGAATTATGTTGCCATTCCCTTCTTTCCATCAATAAGCTATAAAATTGCACGCATTTTACAGAAATTTAACTTTCGTGTCGTTTATTCTCCCATTTCCGAGTTCCATACTCAAGGACCCCATTCCGGATATGAATTCGGAGGGGAATTTACAGGATTCCTTGACAGTGTGGTTTAATTTACATTGGCCAAACTAAGAGAGACTTAAAATTTCGCAATAAGGACCATGAGGCATAACTTAGAAAAAAGGAAACGCATAAGTCTTCTGTTGCCCAGCATTGTTGGTCCGAAAATCACACTTTCAATTTTTCTGCAGCCAAAATTATTCAAAAAAAAACATCTTCCATTTGTGAATTAGATTTTTTAGAGGCATTTCAAGTTAACGACCCTAATTCCAATCCATCTTTGCCTTCAGCCTTTAAGGGAATTATGTTTTAGTTCTCGTTTCCCCAACAGATGGCGCCAGTCGTTTAACTTTCATATCTTATCTTATCTAATCACTCTATCTTATTTCGTTTATTTGCGCTTTTGCAGATGAGGATGACGGTTCGGTAAAATCAACGAAACTAGTCCTGTGAAAATTTGAAAACAAGGCTGATTCTTGTTGTTTGACATCTAAATTAACATAAGAGTTAGCTTATCATCAGAAAAAGTTTCAATAGTTTAAACAGAACCTTCTTTTTCTGCTACAGAAGTGAAAATGGCCAAGGAGAAACATGTGTTATGCGATAACAACAGATAAAAAAATTCGAAAAAGTTCCAGTTAAAGAAAGAAACAAAGTTAGTGGCGTCATCTATTCAAAAAAAGTGAAAACAAATGGCACTTGTCGATAGATATTCTACCTAGTTGTAATAAGGCTCCTGTTGTTGTAAAGATTGAAAATATCATATATACTGATACTGTAAAAAGTGGTATTAATATTGGCAATGTAAATGTGATTGGCAATAATATTGACAATGTAAATACTATCACAAATGTCAAAAAGTAAAAACGTGCAAATATAGCTGATATTAAGGACGTATTTACCTCACCTCGGAGACCAAAAAAAAAAAAAAAATCAGTAAACAATTTTTTGTATCTTGATGTCAGCCATAAATACAATGTATTTGTAAAATTAATGCCAACTTCGATAATGATATTAGCATGTATAGTAATGCGCCGCCTCACGCGGAAGCTTCACTTACTAGGATTAAGCCTATTATGGTGATAGCTACTTTAAAATTTAACGATTTAAATACTACTTTAAAATTTAACGACGTCTAAAAAATTATCTGAGGAAACTAAGTATGGATTTACGGCTAGAATAGCCGGAGACTTTCTGAAAAATTTTCCCGCTTGTGAAAATTATCACAGCATTCTAGATACTTATCTGACAACAGTATTCAACATTGTCAGACCCATTAAAGTTTTTATTAGGAGTATTGCAGCTTATTGTACTTCGGACGAAATAAAAGATGAATTAATTAGTGATGGATATAACGTGTTCAGGATAAAACAAATGATAAAATTCAAAACACGTGTTCCCATACCCATATCCCAGGCCTAGCTCGTAAATGAACCGGATATGGAAAAGATCTACGACATTAAAAACCTAACTTTCTTTAAAGTCTCTGTCAAGCCATACAAATTTAAAGGCAGGGTGTCCCACTGCTATACTAGATATCTAGTTGGTCTTGACCAGGCCTGTATATCTAGTTGGCTTTGCCCAGTGCCATAATTGCCAATATTTCTACCCTCGTATGAGCTCCGAGGTGTGTAAAATGTTCTCTCCCAGACTTATTCGCTGCTAAAACATCTTAGAGGCCAAAAGCCTCAGTGAAGAAAAATGCTAAAAGTTCAGATAGTATATCTGCTATAGTGAATATGCTTAAAGTTTACCATGAAATTAAGGCTATCTTTTCCGAATTTTTAATTCTTGAGGTAATCAAAATTATCACTAATAGAAGAAAGAAGCCCATTCTTCTAGTGACAAGATGTTTGTATTACTTAATATAACTGAAAAAATCTTCAGTGAGGGAAACTTCACGGAGTTTCACTTAAAATATTTCTTCCCTTACTATGGTTACTTCACGTGTGCGCGTGCTGAAGTTGTCAGTATTTTTTTTTTTTTTTTTTTTGTATGCATTAGGTAATTATCTTTAGTATATATGATTTGTTCGCACGTATCTGGTAATTTAGTAAGTGGTTTGTATTTGGTACCTGGATTTTCTGTTTTGCATTTTGAACCCCTTTATGATTTTGTATTATTTTAAAATTAGTTATGATGTCCCTAAGACTCGTACTACCCTCACATACCCTTATATAGGAGCCTTACCATCACATACCCTTATATAGGAGCTTTACCCTCACATATTTAACTTTATTTTTGTTTACATGCTCACCAGTTCGACAGCTCGTCCATAACAGATAAGACAATATCTATAACAGAGCTAATCTCGACAGATAAGTATTAGCTCGTCTTACATGTTTCGTTCGTAAAAGAAATGTTGTGTGACCGCGGCATTTTCCTGCTTAGAACATTTATCATTTTGGTGGCTATTCCTCAGCATTTAGAAGCACCTCTGTGACTTCACAATAAATTCAAAAGTGACTATTTACTCGATTAAGGTAGGTCGCCACAGACCAGGAATCCCGTGTTTGCACTACTCGAAGAAGTTTAGCCTTATAATTAGAAATTTATTCTCCTAATTTCAAATATATATGTAAAACAAGAAAACAATAGCTTTAAATAAATCAAGTTTAGTGAAAGAAGAATCTGGGTATAAACCTGTAACAAAAATATTTTTCGCAATTTTCAACTTTATCAACTAACCGTTAAGATGCGAAAATAATTTTTTCATACTGCTGGTTTGGCAACTGAAAATCAGTAGTTGTTCACTTGTGTTGAACAGATGTGTAATGTTATTGTTTAGTCCCACTCAAGGATGTAATAGTGGTGAGAGTGGTTGTCTCTGTTCAATTTTGAGTAACAGATCATGAAGTATTTTGTTGCGATGATTGTTATGGAAAGGACTTCAGAATTTCAAAATGTGTGAAAATTCTTAAAATAAGATGAGACTAATATTTTTTATCAATAGTTTTAACTGCCAAGTGAAATACACCTGAAAAGAATGGAGTGTCAGATTAGGAGTATGGCATCTTCAAGTATAGCAGATGAAGTAAATATACCTGAAGGAAAAGTCGAAGCAGGTATATTTTTCTTCTGATGTAAATGCGATTTTATATCGGTTCTTTATTCAGGTTACTTTTTTGTGTGTGTGAAACATTTTATTTTCCAGAAAGTTGTGTAACTTTCGTAGATTTGATATTTTGATTTTTAAATTTTTTTAAAAATCTAATCTTTGAGCATATGTATATGTTTATATACATACATACAAATTCTTGCGATTAAACCCAAGCTTACTTTTCTGATGAGTGTTGTGAAGTTTACGTTAAGTCGTTTATTGCTTACATATTTTGTTTTAGGATAATGTTCGAATTATTCGTTCAAAAACACCATGATTTTATCTGATAGAGTAATTTTTTTTTCGTTGTTGTTTTGTTTTAGTATTCTCATAAATTAAAATTTACAAGTTTTATGTTAATCTTCAGAGAGCTTATGATCAAACAAACATTTCTTTTAATTTCATTTTCTTGCAAGATTTGGTGAAACAGTGGTACTTTTTTATTCCACTCTTCTTTTCTGTCTACTTTTTTTTTAAACATTGTATTATACTCGTTTGGGGAGTAAGATGCCATTTCTTGTCATTTATTTATAATTGCAATTATTATTAGTAGTAGTATTGATTGTCATTATTAATTACTTCATGTCACTAACTTCTTTTTTCAGGGAAAGTGCAGAGTCGCGCACTGCTTCGCGCATTTGGCAAAATCGCCAACTTGAAAATGACGACAAGTAAAAGAATTGCATAAACTCGGTATCCACATGCACATCTACCTATTTTCACTCAAAAAAACATCAAACAATTGCACCAACTTGGCATTGCACACTCCCTTGACTTTGTCCATGTACATATCGATACGTGCCATATAAGTGGGCAATTCTGCATCAGCTTTGAAATAACAGTTCAAAGAATTGCACAAATGCGGTATCCATGTACACATCAACCTATTTTCACTTAAAAAAACATCAGAGAATTGCTGAAACTTGGCAATGCGCACTCCTTTGACTTTGTTCATGTACACATCGATATGCACGATATAAGTGGGCAGTTCTGCACTTTACCTCTTTTTTCCTTCCTTTGCATGAGAAGTGTTACTACATCATACAGTTTGAGCTTACCATAATTAAGTGGCAGCATGTTATTGATTCCAAGTAAAAAACTCAAAAGTTTCTTTTTTATATATTATATTTAATTATTATAATTTATCTCTCACTTAAAGTAAGTGAAATATGAGCCAAACAGTTATCTACAATTGGGGCAATTTTTGCGGTATCAAGTAAACCGACGGAATTCAAATTTTGCTGAGCCTCGACTGTGAAATGGTTTTCAAACCAGTCATTCATTAACACTTGTGTCATCCATGTTTTTTATTTGCACGATATATAATGGGGAAAATCTTTACCTTTTTAAATGTTTTAGGTCATGTATTTTTCCAATTACAAAAAGTTTATACTTGTGCGTTCCTGCAACATTTGCACATGCTAAAATTGTTGGTCTTACTTTGGAATCATTGACACCAGTTGGAGGCCTTTCCTGTAGAGGTTGCCAAGGTATTTCGCCAGAAAAGACCAGTTTTATCAGCATTGTAAATTTGTCCTGGAGATAGCTTTTCAGTATCAATGAGTTCAATGAATTCATCTGCAAATAGTTCAGGAGATTCAGTATCAGTTGAAACATTTTCATCTGAAATTTCTGATTGCCTTATACCATGGTGATTTTAAAATTTGGTTAACCAACCAGTTTTTAAGTTCATTTCTTCATGAAAATTTTTGGCTTGATCCATTAGCACTGGATGTCAATGGCATTCCCTTGCTCTGATGCTGTCTGACTCATTCAGTCATCACTTTGTCATGACCGTCACTTTTAGCATAGTGAATAAATTTTCTGTTAATTATTATGATTGAGGTGTCAGAATCCACAAAAAATTCATAAAGTTCCTTTTTCTGTTATGTCATGTACAGTTGACTTTCCAATGCCATACTCCTAGCATAATTTTGAGATAGATATACCTATATCCACTTTTTGTGTAATGGACATCGAAACATGCTTTGTAGATCCTGTTGCAGCTCCAGAATTAAAACCTCTTTTCGACATAATCGAAAGTTTAAATTTTAGTTTTCATAAAATTACTGTAATTATAACAGCCTGCAAAAAATAACAAGCTGGATCAAATCAGAAAGTTAAGGAACTGCACAATCTGCTATATTAACCCCTTAACTGCCGCGGGCGTATATATACGCCTTGCTCAGTCGATGCGTTAACTGCCCCAGGCGTATATATGCGCCCTTCCAAACTATTATCATTTGCTTTGAGCAGCTACTCGTAAAATTATTCCCAAAGCTTTGGAAGGCAACACCACAATGACCTTGACAAAGTATGCGAAGGAGGATACTATTTCAGAGAAGTGTGGGGAGAAATTGGAGAGAGGGGTGTGTCTAAAGCGGTGAAAGTAATGACTGCGTGGTATTGGCTGTTGTTGTTTTGCGTAACACTTTTTTTTTTTTTTATTCTGTGTCCTCCGTTTTCGTTTACTTTTTGTAGTAGGTTCCAGGAATAAAGAAAGATATAAAGGATGTTTCAAAACCATTTAACTTTTTTGAATTATTTTTTGATGAACCGCTCGTGCTTCATATTGTTACTGAAACTAAACCGTTTTGTAGACGAGTATATGAAGCAACACCTTGCAAACGAAAAATCAAGAACAAAATCGTGGCATTCAACCAGTTCAGAAGAAATATGTTTTTTTGGCATACTTGATTTCCCAAGGTATAACACTGAAACCTGATATTACACTTTACTGGTCTAAAAATGAATTGATCGAAACTCCATTTTAGGGACCTTTTTTATTATAAAACCCTCATTTGTATTATATTTACATCTTTTTATTATACCTTTACTCAAAACATTAAATTTTGTGCATTCATTTTTTTCTTTTATTCTTTATTTTGTGAAAGTAAACAGTTTTTATAAAGTAAAACTTGCACTTATTTCCCCCCTAATACATCGATAACTGCGCGCGCCTGTGTGAAAAACCGTGGCACTGGGAAATGAATCTTGTACGTTTTCCGCGGCAGTTAAGGGGTTAACTAAAATTCCTTGGAATCAGTAAAGTATAATTTTAGCCTAGCTTAACAGCATCCACTATACATTATTGGTTATGTAACATAGATTTGCGATGAAAGACAAGTTGTGCCTTTAAATTTTGTCTTCCTATCGCGCACTGAAAATATTAAACCTGAATTGTATTAACTTAATTATTTATTATACTTATGTCTGTTTTTTGCACATGCTTGAGGCTTATTCGAGTCACAAATCAATAAATTCCTACATACACTTAAGCTTACTGAGGGCCGGTGCTAGATATTTAACCGCCTGATGCAGTTTCTGCGGGTTCTAAATTCTGCTAATGAACACCTCCCTAAGTTCTACATTTTTGTTGCCCCTAAATTTTAAGCTTTACCTAAACTCTAAAAATTTTGTCATCACTTAATTTTGTTTCTTGGTGCTTCTCTAGAATTCCAAAAGTTTCGTCTTCCCTAAATTTTAGTTCCAGTGGGGCCATATGAGCTCTGGCAGTGGTTCTGGGTTTATGTGAATAAAAAATCAGTTATTCTTAATTTAAATCACACTAAATGTTATCTTTTTTGCCTATAAGTATGATTAACAACATCTATTTTCAGCATATGGAAAGAAATTTTGAAATTTTATTAAATTTTCCTCGTCAACATTTAGCGCATTTAACTTAAATCTGCAATCATCGCCACCATAGTGTCAACCTAAAAGGTTAACGTACTCTCTGTTATTAAATTAATAATGTAAAAAAATTGTTTAGGCATCGCTGCATGAGTCATTACTCAAGTTGTCATGTGTTGATAAACATGCGGTGATGAAAGCAAAATATAATAAATAATGATTCACCAGTTTGGGCATCAGGGATTATAAGTTGGCCTTGGTAAAATTAGTGGTATTTCTATATAAAAATGTTTCGATTTGAGGTGTATGCAAAGCAGGTACGGAGTCAAATTATTGATCATACAAATGTATGCTAAAATGATTGTTTCTTCAATAACGAGGTATTTTATTTAGTGCCAAAATGAAATTAAGAATCGTTTGTTTTATTATGGGGGGAATCAAATGTGCATATGTAAAGCATAAATGAATTCCAAAAACATTTTGTTGGGGGCTTTGAGGTCTGGATTTTAGATCATTCCAAATATTGGACACCCAGATCTCAGACTTTGTACTGTATTATGTATATATATGTAAGATATAACAAAATATGATAGATGGGTACTTTTCCGTTTCGCCGGCGCAAATCTCGCCAAACAGACTTTATTGGCGACAACATACAGTATACACATAAAAAATTTTAGTTCTAAGAATTTCTTTCTTTTTTTTTTTTTTAAAGGCATAATTATTTTAATATCGCTTAAAACTTTATTAAAAGCCAATAAATAAAGACAATAAATTTTAAAAAGACATTAATTTAAGAATTTACTATGTTTTCATGGTTCAACATCCTAATTCGCCGGTTCATATCACGTGACTCCAAGCGATCTCATCTCACGTAAACTACTCTACAAAATCTAATGCTCTCAGTAATTATCTACATTAATTCAAGTTAAATCTTAATTTGAAACACAAGTTAAATGCAAGAAATATTTCAATGCGTACGAAAGCTTACTCAGAAATTATGTAAAACTGCAGTGCTTTACTTCGCTAAGGCATTCTCATTAGAATTGATGAATTTAACCCTTGACTTTCCTTTTCTATATTTTTGGCTTCGGGTAAGAGCTGTGATAGCATCTTAATTGACCTAATTACCGAAAATGCCTTAGACATAAAACTGAAACTATCTGAAAAAATTCTATGTAATTATATACAGTATGAAAGAAACAATCAATCTGATAAGAAAAAAGCTGCCGACTGTTTTGAAAATGAGGCGTAAAGGTTACCAGCGAGAATTCCGATTTCCTTTGGCATCGGTTGTACCATTATTGGTGACTTTATCGCTTGCACCGGCAAAACGGAAAAGTACCGATAGCTGTTTTAAAAAAATAATTAAATTAACATTCTAAATTTGGTGATCTGCCCCTAAATTCATCACTTGTCACAGGTTCCAGATTTTTCTATCTTACGTAACATTTTAATGCAGATGCCTCTTCTTCAATCAAATTAATCGTAAACCAAAACTCTGAACTGAAACTTTCCCACTCCCAACCTTCTTCCTTTGAAAGTACTATAACTTTCCGCTTAAGCTCCCCTGCCGGCAAAACGCTTTTTATGTATGCTGCTGCCGCTTACTTGCTTAAAACAACGTTGTACTTCAAAATGCAACTTACTGTATTCAAATATAATTAGGAAACATCTTGTCTGAAAAAGGATGATTTGATATGCGTAAAAAAATAAAGATTCTGATTTTTCAAGATACATTGTGCGACATTGCGTCATCATGCTTTCCACTCTGCCACACTACAGTGTTCTCGGTCATCTACGTGGTATCTAGCTGTTAAAAGTTTCACTGTTTTCATCTACGCATTTTAAAATCATTACATATATATATATACATAATTTTTCTTTTCTTGACTAACAAATAATACAAAAATTTTTAATTTAAGCTGATTGAGCAGAAGTAGTAGTGCCTTCTATAGAATCTGATTTACTACTTCTCCAGTATTAATCTGTGTAGTTACAGATATGTTAAAACTTTTACATGCTGTTATATAGATATGGTATTCTGTTAAGAAATTTTTGGAAGAACTTTTAGGCAGTTTGTTGATGGATATAAACTTTTGAAATGCAGCTGAAGTAGTAAAGTAAATCACATTCTAGAAGGTCTCAGCCTTGCCATGCATAAGATAAGCAGTGAATCTAAGTGAATATGAAATATCTTGCAATAAATGAACATATTTCTGCGTAATGAACTTTTTTTCTATTTTAAAGCTTGTAGAGACATTAGGTACTTTTCGAAAGCAGAGGATATAGAAATATGCAATGCCCTTGCCGGGACTTGAACTATGGACCTCTCGAATATGCGCCAAGTGTGCTGACCACTACACCACAAAGGCATACCAAGAAGCTGGGAGAAATACCTTATATACTCCCCCTTTTAAGTGGTCAGTAGATATTATTTAGCTATGACCTTCAAAATTTATTCAAAACTGCCCTTATGTTTTGCCAAATAAATTTAGCAAGATAGGTCAGGAGGTAGAGCTAATGCCAAGCAATTCCTCTCTTTTTGTTTCTTCACTCGAACAAGCCCCATAGTAATTCAGCATGTTGTGTATAGATGTCACTCTCCTTGACCTCAAAATTGTACTTTCTAATGCTAGTAGCTAGCTTTTCACAGTTCATGAATGCTGTATCCTTTCCAGCTGTTGGGAAAGATGGTTGTTCTTTCTTTGGTGTGCATTTGGATATCCTGTCATCATCACAATGCTTCTATCTGGAATGATCACCGAAAAGCTTCCTTTATTATGCAACAAATTTCTCCTAAAATTTATTGGTGTAGGAAGACTTGATCAACATTATTTTTATATCTGGTGAATAGGCTCTCTATTGCATATGTATGCGAAATATGCCAAAAACATAGCAATTCTATCAAATATTGAAGCCAGGGGTATGATATAATATTGAAGCCAGGGGTATAAATCAGAAATTACTGTTATTTCCTTCATAGATTTTTAGGGATTTATGGGATTTTCCATTAGGAATTTTGATAAATAATGAAACAAAAACATTACAAAATATTGCTAAGCAATTATTATTTCCATACAGTGAAATTATACATTACTAAAGAATGTTTGGGAAATGAAGCAATGAGAAGTGCAGACAAATGCTAAGAATAATAGTGTGAAATTAATTTCAAAATTTAAATGAAACTGCGTTACTTTAACAACAGGCATGCAGTTAATTTTCTGTTGGTGTACGGATTTGATACTCATTAAACTTTGTCAAGAATTATATACATAAAACAGTCATTGAGAGGTGCTTTTTTATCTCTTAAGAAGTTGACATTACTAATGTAAGCAAAATGCTTAGTGCCAGCCAAATTTACTGGCAGCAGTTAGTGCTTACTTATGTATTCATTTTATAATAAAATGTGATATAATATATGATATGTTAATAATATATTGTAATAATATCATGTGCATATGTATTTAGTCATACCTTTTGACTAGTAAAAATATTTAGAATCGAATTTTGTATCTGGAACTCCTACTTAATTATATAACGTAAAAATTATATATGTCATGTTTATATTGAATTATATGAATGATTTGTATAAAACTATTGGTCTTTATTGTTAATGGATGTGATAGGAAGAAATACAAGTCTTTTATAAACTAAATTTGCTGTAATCAGTTAGATATGAGTAATTTATATTGTCTGAATGACAATTTAGTGCATACAGTTTTGTTTATGATACAGAACTGCTTTAGCAGAACAGATTTTTCCCTTCATTTTTAAATGTAGATATGTTAATAGGTTTAAAGGTAGGGAGAAAAATACATGAAACCTTCCTCCCTGGATAATGATTATGATTTCTGGCATGTTTGTTATTTATGTAAGTGGCTGCCTGAGAGAGATGATGTTGGGTGTTTAATGTTTATGTTTTGAGAAACACATACTAGTCATTTTCAGAGGTAGTTGCTATCAGAGATTATACAGTAATTCTCATCATACTTATTTCACATGTGTGTGATATATCATAAATTATATTTATTGAATTAATGTTTATAAATTTTAGCCTAACAAATATTTTATGTTCATAATTTTTTATTTATTTATTTTTTATTTTTGCAGTGTGCAGGGAATGGTTAGTTAGAGAAGATGGTGTTTTGGCATATAAGCTTCAAACAGAAGAAAGTATGTTTAAAAAAATCATGCATTTGTTTAGGATTTCAAAATATGTGTGTCTTGAAATTTACATTCATTTGTCAGGTGTATCTAATAATTGTACTTAATATTCTTGTTCATAACATTATGCGGTTACATGCATTCATGGGCACATACATACATACATACATTTCTGAATTTGGAGCAGAAGAGTACCATGAAATGCACTCTGAAGAAACATGTAGTAATTGCAATAAGCCAAAATATAACATAAGATCATAACAATTAATGTGGCCTAATATATGCAAAATAAAAAAAATAATTTTTTCAGCCCTGTAAAACTAAAAGTTATTAATGCTAAATAGAAGCTCTGAAAAATGTAAAATATTTTTTATTCGTAAAGTAAATAAAAGGATGTTATCTGTTTTTGTAAGTTTTGATAGTACTTTGTAAAAAAAAAATAAACTGAGCATTATTTGCTAATGATAATAAATTTTTCTTGAATCATTTAATTGCAGAAAATTTCATTAAATGGCTTCATTATAAATTTTATATGTTTGTGAACGAATTCAAATAATATGGATTTTGTGAACCTCCTAAATAATGTTTGTAACAATCTTAAATATTGACATGATTTTAACCCTTTAACCGTCAAGTTATTTTGAAGATTTGGGTACATAAATTGTCAATTTTTTTTTAATTCCAAAAATCAAATGTTTGACGTGCAATCAAAAAAAAATTTAAGAAATGCTTTTTAACATAAATGTCTATCCTTTGAAACCTTCAATAAAGGGCTGCCATATATTGAACTAAAGCCGAAATAAACTTCTCACAATATATATTCGGGTATAACAATACAATGCACTCAAAAAAAAAAACAAAAAAAAAAAAAAAAAAAAATTACCCCGAGTAATACTCGGGCGGGACATTTTGGAACAGCAGTGAATCTCGGGCATGACAGTTAAAAGGTTAAACTGTGTAGCATTGATGGTCCAAAAATGTAGATGATTAATTTTAGAAATCTGTTTGAAGTACTATGGTGTTTAAGGCATACATTCATTTTTAGCAATAAACTCAATTAAGTATCTTTTTATTTATTTATTTTTAATCTTTTAAAAGATATAGCAAAATTTCAACTCTGGTTGTCATTTAAGTTTGTTATATTGTTAATTGCATATATATTTGAAAGCAATATAATTTTATGTAAAAAAGTGTTTATGTTATTTTCAATAGAGAAAACTAAAAAATTATTTGCTTTGTGACTTCTTTGATAAGCTAAAATTTATTTCTAATTAATATTTTCTGTAAATAAAAATTAAATCTAAATATTGAAAAGTTATTATAATTGGTCCCCTTGGTCCTAATTATAGTAGGTTTTATTATAGCAGTCCTCAAGACTGAATTGCTAATCAACCAAGATACCTTGCCACATGTTCTTATATTAGTATCATGTTACATTTTTGCTCTTGCCACATGTTCTTATATTAGTACCATGTTAAAATTTTTGCTCTTGCCACATTTTATTATATAAGCATTGTGTTGCATTTTTTCTAAGGTTTTCAAATTTACTTTTTTGTGATCATGTGGCTAACAATCTTTAATTTACCAAATAAATACTATGTACTATTTACTATGTGTTCTTGAGCAAAGGAGTTAACATTCAACAAATGGTGTGACAAACAGCGTAATATGTGTAAAAATGCTGCAATTGATTAGAACAATTACATGCAGGAAGTGTGTGCCTTACATATGATACAAAGATTTAGTGGACAAATATGCGGTCCCAATAAAATAGTTAAAATCGATGAAAGTTTGTTCATCAGAGGTAAGAATAACAGCAACAGAGTACTCCCATAACGATGGATTTTTGAAGGACTATGCCAGTGATGTGTCATTTAAATTTTGAATAGAGATGCTGGTACATTTACGGAGAAATTATTCTGCATATGCAAGATGCATCAATGATCTGTTCAGACTGCTGGAAGACATCTAAAATGGAGCAACTCCAAGAAGCTGGTTGCAGTGAATCATGAGTACAATCATGATGTTAGCTATGAATCATGAGCACAATTTTGTAGATCCAACAACGGGTTGTTCACGCCTAAAATGTGAAAAGAATGTGAGCTTTAGTTAAGTGGCATAGTAAAAAAACAACAGGGCAAGGCTCAGCATCACCTAGAATCATATCTTTCAGAACTTATGTGAGGAAAGTATTTAAGAAAAATCATGTTTTTGATGAATTGTCGAAAGCAATTTCAGAAATATGGCCCTGTGATAACGATTATTAAAAATATTCTTGGAAACAATGTGTGAGTAATCTTAAGTGGTTTCCACTATTATAAGGAAATATCTTATTTTTTATTATCTTTTATTTATTTTTTAATTCCCCTCTTTTAAGTAAACTCATCACTTTTGATAAACCCTTTCTTCACTAAGTACATGAGAAGGATAAGAAAAAAATTCAGTTCAAGTCATGTAAACAGTGAGACATCAGTAACAAAACCTGTAAAGAGGTAACCATTTTGAGGCTAGATTAATTTTCTAGTGAGTATTTAATTGTAAAAAGAATAAATTTTCACTGCCAGCAGAATTAGAAACATTCATTTTACCACCTGTTAAAATTTTAATTTTTTATTAATGTATATGAATTACTTTTATATTATAAAATAAAGCTTCATATTGAAATAATTACTTGCAGTGTGATTTCAACATTATTTTTAATGCATATGAAATATTTATTGCAGTTCAGCATCATTATGGGCATAATAAGGAAAGGAATCAGCTAGTTAGGTCAGATTTACAAGAAGCTCGGACAGCACAGAAAACTGAAGAAGAAGAAGCTGCAATGGTTAAAATGGCATATGAAAAAATGTTAAAAGAACAGTAAGCAAAGAATTGTAAACCTTATGCAAAAATCATCATTACTTTTTTAATGCTTTTTATTTATTCTAATTCATTAATATATATCAGAAATTCTTTAACTTTTCTGTGAATAGTAGACTTTTCTAATACTATATCTTTCACTGAACTAAAGTTTTTATTCAGCTTGCAAAAATCCTTTAATTTGTTCATTGGTAGTAATTATTAGTAAATTTGTATGTGCTTTTGCATAGCATATGTATTATGTACTCATATCATTCTTCTAATACTTTAGAGAAGACCATGATGCTTTTATTGCTCATCAACTACAAGAAAAAATTTTAAAAGAAGAAATGGATCGTCAAAAGCAAATAGAATTAGAAGATCAGGTAAGTCTTGTATATTTCTTTAGCTGATAAATTCTACCGAGACCAAATATTTAAAATCACTACAGGTAGTCTTGTCCAGAGCTCACTTTCCTTTCCTAATAGTATAGTTGGCTTTATGGAAGTTCCAGTAGTGGATAATATAAATACAAACTTCTCATAGGAAACTCTGCCCAAAGGCTGATTAACAATCATATTATTTTAACAATAAGAAAATAAACTTCATTCTTTCAGTAATATATGAAATGCTAAAAGAACATGTTTCGCCATGAAAGGTTTTTAAGCTTTTCATTTTATTAAAGTAATTTTTGAATGGAGTGTGAGCATATAGATTTTTTAGAATATATTTATGTTATCTTATTCTTATATTAAAAAGAATTCATTTTTCAACTTGGAAATTACCAAATAAAATGAGCAGCAGGGTAGTACTCATTAGATGGGTGTCTTTTTTACAGTTTTGTATATATTGGCTATGTGGGCAAAACAACTGGATTCTTGCATTTTCAAATTTTATTTTACTGTGGGACTTGGGCATGCAGTTTAATCGTGAAAAAGCATTAAAAAAAAAAAAAAAACTCTGAGGTCCATATTTCGTAAATGGATTAAAACAGAGTATGAGACTAATAGCCTAATTTAAAAAAAATGCCTTTTGAGAAGATTCGTCTAAGGATACTGTAACTGTTCATGTTTACTGAGGAATGCCATGAAAACCTCCATGTTGTTATAATATTAATAATTAGAAAGCAAACTTTTTTCTCCCAGCTACATGTGAAATGCTGCTAGAACCAAGCTCCATTGTAATACGTTTTTATGTTTTGCATTTCATTCAAAGATACCTTTTTAGGGGGCATGGAGTTTTTAAAAACAATGTAAAAATTACATGTCTCTATTACTGTTTCACATACAGTGGAAAATGCAATACTCCATGAATGATTATTGAAATTCTGTTGCATATTAAATAGTCATCCATGCTCATTTTTGAGTGTAAACAAACAAAATTTTGATTTTAGAAAAATTTTGCGTTGCAAATATTTAATGGTGTTGTTTCTCATGTAAGATTTAAGTAAGATTTTTTTAACAAAAATACATTAAAGCATACTTTGTAGAAGAAGCACATTCTTTTTACTATTGAAGTTATTTAAGACTTTCAAAGCATGCCTTATTGCTCTCTTATTCCTTTGAACATTATGGAATGTGATCATTTCTTTAATGCAAGTTCAGTAGTATGTGGGGGAAATAATGATCGATGGGCAAATACCCCTACATATTTAAAACAGCAGATCTGTATTCACCCAGAGATATTGGGATGAGGTCTGAGAACCTTATGTAAGACTTTTCAAAGGTGCATATGGATCTGACTTTTTATTTATGGATGATAATGCTCATCCACATCAATCAAACCTTATGGATAGATATTGGTTGAAGACCATGGCCAGTAAAATCTCTTGTCATAGTATGACAGAGAACTGACCTTAGAAAAGCAGTTGCTTATCCTCCTTCTAGAGATGTATATATCCTCAACATTGCATTGCTGGAGGAATGGAACAAACATAAATTGGGAGTTACCAGTGTTAATTGCTGGCGTGAAAACACATTGGGGTATTTGCAAGTTAGGAGAGTTTGCATTTCATATTAAATTCATAAGCCTCAATTTTTTTAACTCTCTTTGTAGTGTATTATTACCATTTTTATTGTATCATGCTGCATGTGTAAAGAATTTGTCATCAACTTTTAAGATGCTGAGTTCCAACTTAAATGCATTTCATAGCTGGTTTCTTTTCATTTCTGATTTTGAGGAAACATTTATATCAGCTACAAAAATGGTACTTGTAAAAATTTTTTAGCAACAAAATTTTTTTAAAAAATGGTAAAGAAAAATGGGCTAAAGAACATTAATAATTTTCAGTTCTAGCCCTTCTGTTATTAAACTGCCAGAGATATTAATCTGATTGCTCATGTATGGAATGGAATGGTGAAATTTGTATAGAGATTAAATTTAAGGGAAGCCTTATTGTAGAATGTTTTGTAAACACTGTGTTTATTTATTTTATTTAAGAGTATAAAAATTGGATACTATTCGGTTTCGAGGGCAGTGAAAAAATTGCAGCGAAAATGTATGCAGAAAAGCGCCAAATCTAGTAAACGCACCCATTTAACAGCGCGTCAAATTTAGCTTACGCGTTGATTTTAGATTGCGTAAGTTTATATAGTTCTATATTTCTTAAGATGCCATTGAAATACTAGTTTAATTTTTAAATCCTTTTTTGATATCCTATGGATTTAACAATTTGTGAATTGCCCATGAGGAAAAGTCTGCATTAGAATTTTGGGTAAAGTGCAGAATCACCCACTGCTTGACGCGTTTTTAAGAATTGCACATACTCGGCATCCATGTGCACATCGATCTATTTTCACTTTAAAAAAAAAAAAAAAAAATCCCAGAATTGCACAAAAATGGCACTGCGCACACCCTTGACTTTATCTATGTATACATCGACTTATTTTCACTTAAAACGTAAAAGAAAATTGACAAAAATCCAATTGTTTTTACACTTGTAAAAAGCGGCAAACAAATAAGTGAGCGATTCTGCACTTTACCGAGAATATTTTCAAAGAAAAGGCATCATTCATTATAGAAAATTACGTTTGAACAACCAACGAGATGAAATTATGCTTTAGCGATAAGTCGGTAGCGAAATAGCGATGCAGGCATCCATTCAGTTATGTTTAGCAATTTTTATATAAATTACAATAATGATCTGAAATAGTTATTTATTCTTATGCTTCCATTCAGTCATTTAGCCTTTTTCATATAAATTATAATAATAAAAAAGTATTATATGAAATTAACCTTTCATCTAAATTAAAACATCAATCTTAAACAGTTATTTACTATTATACTTCCTTTCTTGCCGCAATTATGTTTGGCAGCATTGGCATCGACAATAGTTTAGCAATTTTTTTTACGGCCCTCGAAACCGAATAGTACCAAAAATTGTTTTGACGGTAATTTGGTTGCTGGATAGACCAATTTGATATATATATAATATATTTTTATACATTTTTTCAAAAGAACTCAGTATTTACTGTTACTGGAGTTCCATATAATACCAAACATAAAAGTTGGTGCAAAATTTAACTATATAGTGGCAACCCTAACAAAACATGAAGTTTTATGAAAAGAATAACTATTTTATATATAATGCCAAATTTGTGCAAATCTCCAATTTTTTTTAACAAATTGCTGTGCTATGAGGAGAATGAAATTGTTGTTTACCTATATATAGTGATCATTGTTCTCTTAAAAACATCAGAGAATTGCACAAATTTACCTCACACCTAAAACATTATATATGTGTGTATTTTATATGAATACACTGAAGAGCGAAAACATTATGACCACCTACTCAATATTGCATTGCACAACCTTTGGCCTGCAAAACAGCTGCAACTCACTTTGGCATGGATGCCACAAATTGGTAGATGACTGGACACAAGTTGTTCTAAATGTCTAAGCAGTGGTCGCGCAAAATCAAGATATTCTGACAAGGTGGTGTTTGAGCTCTGAGCTGGTGCTTGATGGCATCCCAAAAGCCCTCTATCAGATTAAGATCTGGTGAGTTAATGGCCAGGACATTAATTGGAATTCATCCTTATGCTTCTCGAACCACTCCCAACACAATCCAAGCCTTCTGTGATGACATATGACATGGGGTGTTTCTCTGCTGGAAGATTCCATTTCCATTTGGGAAAACAGACACCATGTAACTGATCTGCAGTTATGTTCTGATAGTCTGCAGCTTTCGTGGTCTGTCTACCACAACTTAATCATGTTCCCATTTAATACGTGCTCTCCACGTCATCTAGACAAGTTCATTGAAATATGTGCTGATGATCATAATTGTTTGGTTCGTCAGTATATATATATATATATGTGTGTGTGTATAACCATTAAACAGCTGTAAGGTAATATGAATAGGCTGCCACGTTTGATGACTATTGCCATATTAAATAGAAAAGTATTTAACTCTCTATTTCCTCAAAATATATCCCTTTTATCAAATAAAATGACCTGTAAACATTACCTTTTTTTTTTTTTTTTTTTCCCTTCACAAAGCGAATAGCTTTAGAGCTTCAGAGAAAAGAAAAATTACGCCTGCAGCGAAAACGAGAAGAAAAAGAAATGAGACAAGCTGAAAAAGCTAGAGCAGAACTGTCTGGAGCATCTAATTGTAAGTATTAAAATGTAATATTCTTTATCAAAACAGGACTAAAATATTTTACCAGCAGATAATTATGCATTGTTTAGATCGATAATAAAATTATTTTGATAGTCACTTCCATATAATATATCTCATTGTGCATATCATACATTTTTTCTTTTTTCTTCTTTAGCATCTAGTGTAAAATCTATTGATGATTTAGTGGCCACAAAGGAAGCTTGTACTAGTCCCCTCGAAAGAAGTATTTCAAATCTTACCTTGGAACCTCCAGAAAATTTGAGTCCAGAAGAGCTTCAAAAATTCATAGAACATCGTGATGCTGTAAATATTTACTTGTTTGTTTTAAAAAGTGACATGAATTTCTTATATGAAAAAACATGTTTAGTATATTTTTTATCATTGTTTTGTTTTCTTGAAATGTTTTGCAATGATAGACCCCAATTTCTATTGCTGCCTATAACATGAAATAGCTACAGATGTAATTTTTTTAATAAATTACTTTATTGTTGAGTGATTTTGTAACAAAACTAATGATAATATTATAGCAAAAACTGTTCCTTTTGACCAAGCACATCGTGGCTCAGTTAAGACATAAGATAATAAGATACAAGAATCGGTTACCGAAGGTCCTGAGTTCGAAACCAATCAAAAGCAGGTTGCCTAAAAATTGGGTTTTGTTTAAATTTCCTTTATGTTCCGGATATTGGACAATTTTCTGCATTTTCTAGAATGTTTCAGCTCATTCATCAAAGGTATTTAAGTGGTTACTCATTCAGTTCGAACATTAAAGTCTTAAGTTCAGACTTGAGTACTTGCCTTTTCATTTTACGATCACTTCATGTATGTGGCAGCATAATATATAATCTTTTGTTTAAAATTATCATTTTCCTCCTGGGAAATTTCTCTGTAGGATTTATCCATTATGCAATTTCAAAATCATATGGCAGTTCTACAAATCTGTATTTATTTGCATCATTAGTATGTGTATTTAGTAATGAAAGTATGGCATTTTATTTTCTATAATTTAGATGATGCATATTTTCAAAGTAATTTTAGCATTTTAAAATGGGTACTTGCTCTAAAACATTGCAAATTTAATTACAAGAAAAATTATATATTTAGATTATTGAGTAAGATGAAGTGAAAATTTTCTTATAACAAATTAACATTTATGGGTAAAATCTGTATGTACCAGTTCATTTTAAATTCCATAATTTATCAAATGATTTTGATAGGAATTAAAAAATTACTGTGGGTCATATATTTAAGCATTGATATTTATTTGTGATATTTATTTGTGTTTTTTGAAAGAATGCATTGAGTGTACAATAAAATGTCCCTGAATGACATTTTCCAAAATACTGTGTGCAAAATCAGATTTTTCACCCCTTTTTGCCTAGTGTAAAGACCAAATATGATTCAGATTGCACTAAAATGTATTTGTACAAGGTTCATAATTTTGAAATTATGTTGCAGTACTGCAATTGCCTGCAGTGTTAAAATTTTTTCCATATACTTTTAATAGTATGTAAGTAAGGATTTATGTGTATTTTTATAGTATAGTAATTAATAATGTAAACTTTTAAATAAGTAATCCAGATGTTATAAAATTAAATTTCAGACTTATGTTTTTAATATGATGACATAAAACATGTTTTTATAATAGTAATAAAATTAATTTTGTGGAAGAATAAAACCTGCTCCATTTTTAAGCATATTATGTTTTATATGAATTTTTAAATAAATTCCTTATACATATTATGCTTGTACAATAAAAGGTTATTAGTTTTTCATTCTTTTATAATATCTTATCTTATGTAATCTTAATTGGCTGTAATTTTTTTCTTGTAGGAATTGGCAAGACTACTCCAAGAGCAAGAGCTTAAGGTAAAAAATTTTTCTTCATTTCAAATAATTTTTAAAAAGTTAATAAGCATAGTGCACTTTGAAAGTAATTGAACAAAATAATAAGTAAGGGTGCACTACTTAGAGCCATCTCTAGTTCAATCTATCAGCTGAAATGCCACCAAATTTGGTAAGGGGAGTAATGGCAGTACAGTCAAAAGTCGTTAATTCGGACACCCATAATTCGGAATGATCTATAATCCGGACCTCAAAACTAAAAACTTTCTGCGCATGCGCCGCGTTGACACATGCGCATAGGCGTTTACGCATGCGCGTAAGACCTTTTACGACTGCGCATATGAGTGTGCGCAAGTGCAGAATACGTTTTCGCGTGCGCGTTTTATGGATAATGGACGTATAAGCTAAAATTATCTAATTATCTATTTCAGTTAATGTTGATGATTGCGTTGTTCCTTAATTTTCGAATTGGATCCGGCTTATTATTTTTAGCAGACTGTAAGAGCAATTTTATAAAAGTAAGCTTGAACTTTCGATTATGTCAAATAGAATTTTTGATTCTGGAGCTCCCAAAGGATCGTACAAAACGAAAGTATGTTTCGATGTCCATCAAACAAAAAGTGGAATTGCTGCAAAAAATGGATAAAGAAATGAAGAATGTGACAGAGAGGTTAGTGAAAACGAAAAAATTTCGATTGACAAGTTAGTCGGTATTCTCGGCACAGCAATTAACGGGACTTGAACAGCGGAACTTTGTAAGTGAACAAAAAATTATGTCTGTTTATAGAATTAAAGAGAATAACGACATAAAACACATAGATTATATCAAATAGAATTTCCGATATATATTTGTTAATATGTAAAGGATCTAAAGCGAAAGTATGTTTTGAAATCCGAAATCTGTTTATCAATTTCACGCTGCTCGGCGGGGGGATCGCCGCGGCGGGCGCGTAATGAATTGGAAGTTGATCTGTCAGCACTATCCTTATCTTCAAGTGCAGATGTTTTTATTTTATTTGGCTTATAATTCCTTAACCAAATGTAGTATTTCATCTTCGATGCATGCTCCGTCTTTGATATGATTTAAAACAAGTTCCTCGTCATTATAATTCGCTTTCGATAGTGAAGAAAGTGACAGAGGTTATTGAAAACGAAAAAATTTTGATTGACAAATTAGTCGGTGTTCTAGACTTGAATTCAATTATAGGACTTGAACAGCGGAACTTTGTAACTGAACAAGAAATTATGTCTGTTTAATAGAATTAAAGAGAAAGTATTATCACATGAAACGAAGCAAAACTTAAACAACTTACATTGAAAGAAATGTTTAATAAAGTAAACAAATAAATATTAAGCTTTTTCTTTTTGCAAATTTTGATACCCTTTAGATCATAATTGTTCTTTATTTCATAAATTACGGTTTCATATTTTTAATTTTAGAATTTCTGCATGCCATCTTACGAGATTTAAACTGATGATCTATAATCCGGAAAAATCGATAATCCGGAATCGCCGAAGTCCCGACGAGTCCGGATTAACGGCTTTTGACTGTATAAGAAAAAAGAGTCTATTAAAAAACTTAGTTTCAAATGTTGTTGATAGTCTACACAGCTGAGAATTAGACAAATGAATAACAAAAAAGAAATTTGAAATTTGAGTGCAATATGCTTTAATGCAGCAAACGAACTGTGCCAAAGGGTTATAGATATAATAAAGTACAAGGTCTTTAATCTGGAGTCGTCAGGACTTTGGCGATTCCGAATTAGGGGTTTTTCTGGATTATAGATCATCAATTTAAATCTGGTAAGATGGCATGCAGAAATTATAAAATTAAAAATATGAAACCGTAATTTATGACATAAAGAGCAATTATGATCTAAAGGGTATCAAAATTTACAAAAAAAAAGGCTTAATATTTATTTGTTTACTTTATTAAACATTTCTTTCAATGTAAGTTGTTTAAGTTGCTTCGTTTTTTGTGCTAATACTTTCTCTTTAATTCTATAAACAGACATAATTTCTTGTTCAGTTCCACTGTTCAAGTCCTGTAATTGCTGTGTCGAGAATACCGACTAACTTGTCAATCAAAATTTTTTCGTTTTCAATAACCTCTCTGTCACTTTCTTAACTATCAGAAGCGGTACATCAAAACATGCTTTCGCTTTGTAGATCCTTTGGCAGCTCCAGAATCAGAAAATCTTTTTGACATAATCGAAAGTTCAAGCTTACTTTTTATAAAATTGCTCTAACAGTCTGCAAAAAATAATAAGCTGGATCCAATTAGAAGATTAAGGAACAACGCAATTCGCCATTAACTGAAATAGATAATTTTAGCCTACCTTATACCGACCGTTATACATTAAACGCGCATGTGTAAAAGTATTATGCGCAATGCGTTTACGCATGCGCAAAAAGTTTGTAGCTTTGAGGTCCAGATTATAGATCATTCCGGATTATGGACGTCCAGATTAGACTTTGTACTGTATATCAGTACACTATAACACTTTATACAATAAAAGCACTTCCGAGGTGAGAGCATAGACCTCTTTCTGTGTGACCCCACACACACATTTCATCCTGTACTCAACATTCTTGATGGCCGAATATAACATGCCACCAGTAAAGCTCAGCATAGCCCATGATATGTTGTCCTTTAAGGTCATCAAGGTCAGGATCAACCTTGAACTCAAAGTAACTCTACAAGAAAAAGTCACATGGGGCTAGATCCAGGAAGCAAGGGGGCCATGAAAGTGACAAAAAGCAACTTATGACCCTTTCTTCTTTAAAATGATGGTGCAAAAATTGTACCAATAGGCTAGCATGCAGTGGTGTTCCACCCTGCATAAACATTTTGCCTTTGCTGAAGCTGTATGGAATTACAAAACCAGTCACCATATCATGATACCTTTGCATTGTACCAGTACATGTCTGTGTTCCTGTTAGAGTTATATTCTCAAAAAAGAATGGTCCCGTGATGAAATCTTCTGTGAAGCCACACCAAACAGTGATTTTTGGTGAATGCAATAGACTGAATTACTGGTTCTTGTGGTCATTTACAAAACTGTGCATTTTCAAATTTTGTTTGTGTCTCATGCAAGTTTTTAGCTATGTAGAATACAACAGCACCAAACTTTCCCCTATTGGTGACTTTCTGAAGTTTTTTATTTGTGGAATTTTTTCTTCCTTGTCATCATTAGCCTCTACCAAATCTAGTGGCATTCCAACTGATAGATCAAGCTATAAATGGATCTGAGTAGTGCTAGTTTAAAACAAAACACCATATATGCTTATTTCATAAAATATTGTGCTGTTCATACAATTCTAAATTATATTAGTTTGAAATAACAGTTAATTGGTCTTCTATTTAGAATGCTTCATTGAGAAAGGTGAACTTAAAAGTGATAAGTAACTTTTGAATAAATATTGTAAACATTGTAATTGAATTTATTTTGTTTCAGAGTTTTAATGTACATTTCTTTTTACAACTGTCAGTAAATGTATATTGAACAGTACTTTGACCAATTTTCAATTATACTGTGAGCTTAGGCCCATTTTCTGTCACTTTTATGGCGAAAACTTGTTTTTTGCAAGCCAATTTAATCTCATTATAACTGTGGTTTTAACCATTTTGTGAGAAACTTCCCAACATGATTACAACAGAATTTTATCAAGATTATAAGGTTTTGTTTTTCCTTTAATTAATTGTGTACAAATAGAGAAAATTTCTTTTGCCAAAGTAGATTAAGTAGAATTCTAAAACAGACATCTCCACAAACAATTTCTTTATTTATTGAATTTTTGTGAGCTAAACAAAGACCTTTCGCAGACTAATCTCTAGATTCTTAGTTTGTATTGAAAAACTCTTTATCAAAAACTTGAATAAATTTTGAAACTAATATTGCTGATTTTTCTACATGAGTAAAAGATTAATTAAATAATCCATTATTTTCTGTTTTCATTTTGCATAATTATTTTCTGTATCTTTTTCCCCATTATCAAAACAGGTCTCTTTTAAATATTAAAAATTTTAATGTCGAAATTCTCAAGTCTTTAGAAATATTAATTATTAGAAAAAGATTCAGAAAAAGTAGAGAAGCTATTCAGAAATTTCTGAATCTCAAGAAAGCAAAAAGTTAAAAAAAAAGGTAATTACTAATGACATAAAGCATGTTTTTTTTATACAAAGTCCTAAATGTCTTACACTTTTTGTGCTATGTGGTATAAAGTTAACAGTTTCTCATTCTTTTCAGAAGCAATTTTATGATCATTATTAAAATGAATTTTTTATAATTTAGCATCAAGGTGAAACTAAACAAGATCGACAGATTGCTATTGAAGCTCAGGATAGAGAGCTTGCTAAAGTTCTGCAAGAACAAGAAAGGGCTAAAGCCAGAAAAGCCCGAGAAAGGGCAAAGCAAAAAGCTGCATTAGCTCAACAGCAGGAACATGGGGTCAGGATTTTTTATGTCTTGTTATTATTTGCTTCTGTGCGTTTTAAATAAATGTAATTCAATATAAAATATAATGTGCATTAAATTTTTTCAGTGCTGCTTTTCCATGTGTTTTAAGGTAGGGGTATTGAATATTAATTTAGAAACTTTTTAAGTGCTTAAATTTAACAAGGTGTTTTTAGAATGAAACTTACATAAAAATGTTTTGGTTACTTAGTAGTGCATGCAGTATTCTGTATGTATTCTGGCAGATGTTCAATGCATGTTAGTCTTGATAAATATTTCTGTCACATTTTGTTACTAAGTATGTATCTTTCAATGTTGTGAAAATTTATATTGTTTGGTGCAGTCATCACAATTCCTTGATAATAAGATTTCTTTTAATTTTTTACAATTTTTGTTATTTCCATTGAGTTTTTGGTAATTTTCATATTTGAACCTCATTTTTTCTGGGCTTTCAATAAATATATAACCTATATTTCTCACTTTTTTTGCTATGTCTCTTGCATGTAATTCCACTTTTGTTATCTTGAGAATTGCGTATTCATATCATATGTCTGTGTTTTATGAATATTAATATTGTAGTTTTTATTATTGTTGTTATAATTTTATTGAAAAGCAATTATTTTTGTTTGCACATGAGTTCAGATTAGTAACTAGATGATTTTGAAGAGAGAGAGAATCAGTAATTTTATAGCTTAGTGTACTGGATTTTGAATTGTGTTTTTATTTTGCATGCTATATTATGCTCTTATACATAGACTACAAGGAAAAATAATCTCTGAAAAATACTAAAAACAGTATGAATTTAAAACTCTATTAATCAGAAATGTTAATGATCAAATATTACTACTAAGAATATTTGGACATACTATTAACAGAAGAATCAAAAATACTGCTAGGCAATTAACAACTGAAAATTGTTATCCAGTAAATATGGATATTTAAAAAATTCCGTACTCAAAATTTTTCTCACTTTGCTTTCATTAATAAAGCAAGAGAGTTTTATGTACTGTGCATAAAGGGAAAAGTAGGTTTCCCCCCTTACCTTTCATATTTTGTACTGGATTATAAGAGCATGTGATATTTTATATTGTTTATATATTAAGTTTACTTATATGAATGTGTCAGCTTCTTTCATATTATAAGCTGTATTAACAATGAGCTGCATTAATATAAAAATATGAAACATAAGTAAAGGTATAAAATTTCGGAATTTTATTCTGTTTATTCATTGTTTTCCAATATTTCATGCTGTTTGCGCATGAACTATTACAATAACAGAAACTGTTAATGCTTATAATTTAGTTACCCAAAGTGGATTTAACCAGGTCTTTTAGAAAATAAATTAGTTATGCATTTAAAAATTTTTTATGAATGAGAAATTTACACTTCATAAATGAGAAATTCATTTTATTTAACTTATGATATTTTATGCATGTGTGTATAAAATGTTAATATTGCTACTAATTTTTAAATAAAATTTATTTCTTATTGGCATATTTGTCTGAATAATTTGGTTCTTATCTAGGGCACAACGTCTGAAGCACAGCCACACATTCTTCAGAGTACTGAGCATGATACCATTGTTAAAGAAAGATTAAGAAGTCCTGATTGGTAATCCTCATTTTGTTATATTAATTCAATTATTCAAGAAATTTTCCTCCTGATATATGTTATATATTAGTTGTGTTCAATAATTGCAATATGAAATTCATATCAAATTTTAAAAAATAATGAAATCTTTAAAAAATGTTACAATGACCAGTTGTTTTTTTTTTTTAACTGTTGAACATATAATGTCCTTATAATGCTAAATAGTTACTTTGCATTTTTTTTCCCCTTTTTTCTTACACATTATGTACTATATTGTTTTTTTTTTTTTTTTTTTGCCTTATTTTTATTTGTTTAAAAAAGAGTTTTTTTTTTTATTATTTATTAGTTTTAATTAATTCATCTAAGAACTAAGAGAATGGGAATTTGAATTAAAGTTTACTGCAGTGTATAATTGCTTAGTTGTTCATTATCAAGTCTCATCTTTAAATAGATGTAGTAATGAAACTGAAATTTACTTACTTTTTAATAACTCTTAAGTTAAATTTGCATCATAGGAATTTAATTTACAAAGAAAGTATGATTGTTGCCTCACTGGTCTCACCAAAATTCTGGGTAATTACAGAGAATTTTTTCAATAGGTGATGTGTGAAGAAAGTGCATATTTCGAAAAATAAGCAAGAAAACTGAAATAGCAGCTCTAAACATTTATTTAAGTTCTACTCTCACCAGCAAGTGTTGCTAACTGATTTGACTTTGTAGTATTCCATAAAGCTATTAACTAAAAATCCTCAGATATTATTGCCACCAGCATTTCTTTTCATCTGAATTTTTAATGTTATAATTAATGTTATTTTATGTTAAAATGTATTCCGAAAAAATATTTAAAAATAATACATACGGAATTTAAAGGGAAAAAATATACATAAAGTAATTTTTAATATTTTTCAACAAATTTATGTACAGTTGATTCATTATAAAGGCATTTGGAGGTCTAATATTGCTAACAAATACATATTATATAAATGATGATTTTTATGGGGAAAATTGGAATCCACTTAAATTTACAGATTATATTTGAAAGAACTGTTCATAAAAAATTAATGGAAATGTGCTTTTATCTTTTTTTAAGAAAAGTTATTCTAAAGAAAATTTCCCTTGTGATAAATGATCAACTTTTTACTATGCCTGATTCCAATATTTTTGTCTGAAATATAGAAAAATTCATTAATTTAGAACAAAATAAATGAAAAATTGCTTTTTTGTGTGAAATGTTATATATATTGCACAATATTCAATACATATGTAATTGTGTAATGCATATGTATTCCATATATAAAGAGCTAGATAGATGTTGCAATATCCATTAAAACTATTTCATAAATAAATTTTCTTTTAAAATAAAATATCATTGCATGTTATGAATGAAAACTCTGATAAACTATCATTTTCTCAAGTGCTCAGTATATGTGCTCATTACTTGAACTTTTAATAATAAAATTAAATTATGGAGAAGCAAAATAAGTTGGAACTAAGATATAAATAAAAAAAAATTTTTTAAAGTTTTTGTAGCAATTTTTTTTTTTTTTTTTTTTTTTTTTTTTTTTTTTTTTTTTTTACATGTCTTTAAAATTATTTTTTCATGAATATAAATTTCATTTCAAAATAAACTTCTGTTAAAACTATTTAAAGTGCCTGAAAAAAGATGTTGATGAGAGTATGCTTCAATCTGAAGATTCTGAGTTAATAATTCCATGTAACACCACAAGACTAATAGTAAAAAAGGAATTTAAATGAAAGCTGCTTGAATTTCATCATAATTTTTTTTTCACTTGTCTTTTGTAGATGTATTTTTTTATGAAATTTTGTAGGAGTGCTTTCTTTTCAAGCATACACTTCCTTTTAATATTCTATATAGTTATGGATAAAATACATCAGATAATTCAATAATAATCATACATTCCCTTATTAGACTTAATATCATGAAATCGATAGATGCTTATTTATTAAATTTGGGTAAAATAACATTTACAGTTTCACAGGTTTCTATATGTAAAAGAACAGATTTTGAAATGTTATGCTAAAATAAATGTACAATTCATTAGAATTAAATTTCTCAAAAATCTTGTTTGAACATTTTACTTCAAATTTAGAGCTTATCTGTTTTTATGCAATAAGATATTAAAGTACTTTTAAATAAGATATCTTGTGTTATCACAAAAGAGCTGTTTAATTTGCAGTATTGTTGTTATTCTGTGTTTAATTACATCAGAATTTTTTTTTATATACTGACTATAAGCTTTTCTGTTTATAATAGTCTTTTATTTGTTGTAGGAGTACAGCTGATCGCCGAAGTTTTGCATCAGATTTTTCAGGAGATCCGGTTGACAATATAGCTGCAGCTATTGACCCTACTTTCAATGCCAATTCTTCTAATATGGGATCACCTGTATCAAGAAATTCATCAATTGGATCATCTACATCTCGTATTTCATCACTTAAATCCCCTTTTGCATCTCCTAGCACAGGTAATTTTTCTTAAAATATGGAATCATGTTTTAGTGATGAATTTGCACATTCATTTTTATTGATACTTTTTCCTAATTAATTTATTATATCATGTCTTTATGCATGTATATACATATCTATATCAGTTTCACATGTATATGTAATAGTATATCGAAGTGTGTTTTAAATTCATTTGAATTATCCATTTATTTAAAACACTTTAAAAAAAAAATTTATCGTACTCTTTCCTTGATTTAAAGGCAGTGAAGGAAAAGTAAGCAACTAATCTATTACCTTGATATTGTTATGTGGCATCTTCTTATTGTAGCTCATTAAGAAAGGCAAGGAAGAAATTCTTTCAACATTTAGTTTACTTTCTCTGCTGTTCCAGAAGTTTGTGGATTGGCAGTTGTGCTTCAGTCTTACGGAAGTACATCTGTGATTGTAGCTTGTGAATGTGAATTGAGTTATACTATTTTGTAATAAAGTCAACATGCAGCAGTTTATTTTCTTACTGTAAAGATTAAACTATCGTGAACATTTCTTTTGGCAGATGAGAGAGAAGTACATTCCATTTTGTGCAGTACCATGGATCACTATCGAATTTTGGCCAAGTTACTCAAAAGTTGTCAGGAAACATTTTCATTCTTAAAAAAAGCAAAATCTGTTACTGATGCTAACAATTGTATGAAAATGGAATAAACTTCTATTTTTCTACAGAAAGTTTCATTCAATAAAATTTTTTAACACATGAGTATTTTTGTGTTAATTGTATATGAAATTTAAAGGTTGGCGCTTTTAGATGTCAGGTAGTATTTATCATTGGTTGGTGAGGTATTTTTTACTGCTGCCTTCATGGTGTAATTGGAAAGCACACGCAGCTGGCAGTCAGAATATCAAGATTTTGGATCGCAGTGAGAGTATTGTAGCTGATTTATCATGTTCCCTGACTTCAAAAAATTCTAGATAACCCTGCTTTTTATTTAAAAAGTGCAATTTTTTTTTATTTTTTTTTAATTTTTACTGTTTAAAAATTAATTTTGTCAGTGAATACATTACTTTTGAAAACTATGTTTTCAAACTCTCATACCTTTGAGAAGGAATTATTAACTTTATTTTATATGTCATCTCTTTTTTTAATATACAGAAGTGCCACCATATTGTGCTGCAATTGATGATGGCTTTTTCATGAATGGTGAGGATGGTAGTGCTGTTCCACCATATATGCCCGTACAAGGAACACGTCGTCCCACTTCTCTAGAAAAAGGGAAGAAATCTAAAAAAGGAAAAGACGGATGTAAAACACAATGACCAAAAGCTAACAGATTGCTACAACTGTGGTTTCAAAGATAATGCATCACAATGTAGGAAACCACTTGTTTATTTTTATACTCTTGTGTTTGCCTTGCTTAAGCAATGTAATGAGTTATTCAGAGTTGCCACTCAAACAGGAAAATAAAATTTCTTGACTTTTCCATGTGTGTTTTAAGAAAATTCCAGTCTATCCTTGTAATGCACATTGGCTGTGCTACGGGGTAAATTAATTATGGTACCACCACTTGAAAACACAAAAATTTGCCAATTACATATGACTTATAATATATAATCCCCAAAGCATTATTATTATATAACTGTAATAGGAGTTGTTTTCTCCACTGAAGATTGAGATTAGAAACTGCCCAATCTGGATTTTAAAATGACTTTTTTTACAGATATTTTACAGCGAAACGAAAGAAAAATCTATTTAATGATATTTAAAAATAAATTCGGGTATTTTTTATTTATTTAGTAGCATGCATAAGCAAAAAATATGTGCATTAAATTTCGTAATGGTATGTCATCATGCTGCTAGAATTAATTTCAGGATTATACAGAGAAAATTTCCTGAAATTTGAAAGTATTATTTACTAATAAATAATAAATAAATGTAGAGAGAAGAAGCAAAATTAAATGACATTAATAACATTAAAATAATTATTTTAAAATTGAAGTAGAATAATCAACGATATTTTGGCAAATATAGTTGCATTAAATGGTTGCATGCCTAGGTGACTGATTACTATTTTTTTTATTTTACTGCAAAATGAAAAATAAGGCATTTATTAAAAAAAGGGGGATTAAAAGGATTTTGCGGTAAAATCCTAGTATACGCTACGGCCTTGGCACTATTTTGAAAATTTTCGCCAACACCAAAATGACCCGTTTAGAGCTCATCATAATATCCCCAAATCCCGTGTATACGGTACATGGAGGCCATTATAACCTCCATGGTACCCTATACTAAAATTAAACCGATTTTATTTATTTACATATTTTCCTTAGTTCAACATGCACTGCATATGCACATGGGAGTCTCTCGATACTTGAGATTACTGGAAACCAAAAGTTGCTGGAACTTGCTTTGCCTTTCTCTCAAGTCAATCTAATTGAAGCTGTGAAAATTAGCTCTATGCCAGCTGGCTGAATGATGCTCACGCGATACATGATTCGCCAAGAAAGAGATCGCTTCCAGCGCCGGCCCCAAAACTCGCTTTTTGGGGGGAGAATAGCTATATGAAATTCCCTGACTTTTCCAGATTTTGACTAAAATATTTAAATTCCCTGACTTTTTCCGGTTTTCCAGGTAGCGTGGCAACTCTGGTTATTTATTTAGTTTTTTAATTTATACATTTAATTAGATTTCAGTTTTATAATTTATATTATAAGCATTTAATTGTTGCAAAATGTTTTGTAAAAATTGCATTTGAACGCATGCGCATTTAAAGTTAAAAATACAAAATCATATGCTGTTAAACAATCGAAATTGTATTTTTGTCAGTGTCCATTTGCTTTCTATTACAAATTATCTTTTATTATAAATCATGAATCAATTGTTGAACACTTTTAATATAATGTGGGAGAAAGAACTGACAGTTTTGTCAAATTTTAGTCATTATGTTACATAAGAGCTTCAAAATATTTTCAGAATATATGTCAGTTGTGCTTCAAAATAAGCTCATGTTTATTCTAGCATTTATCATTAAATATGCTTTCAGTATCTTTATATATGTGTGTGTGTGTGCATGTAATATAATCTCATTTGTAAAAAATTGTTGAAAATTTATAATTATCTTATGCCCTTTTTTGGCATACTTTTACATTATGTATAACCCCCCCATTTCATACAGTGCTAAAAATTTTAATGGTATTTCATAATTTATGGGAAAGGAAAATCATAGCTGCTAATCACAGCCCAGTTTTACCTGGAGATTCCCAGTATTTCATCACATCTTGCAAGAGGTAATCGAATCTTCCAGTTTTTAATTTTTAGCTTTTGCTAAGGAATATGTTTCCTAGCAATAAATGAAATTTATTGAATTAATGAAACTTAAATTAGGCAAATTCCATTTGCTCACCTTTAATGATTTTCAGAATAATTTTTATTATTTCATTTCATCTGAGTTGTATTTTTGTCTAATTACATTTAATTGGTGTTTATCTTCTTAAATTTCATTTGATCTGAGTTGTATTAATTTACTGTAGACATTTGTAAATCTTTATATGAAGATTCAAGCAGTGTTTAATCAGTTAATATTTGTGTTTAATTTTATGTACTTTGGTGTATTCAATAATTTTGTTTACTTCAATACAGTAATTATTAATTTTATTTTTACTGTATTTATTATAAATACTGTGATAAATAAAAGCCCTTCTATGCTGCTTGGGATTTTCGCAGTATAAAAGCATGAGAAAATTTTTAAATGAATTTGTTAATTGAATTAAATTAAAGTACGTAAAATTTATAGTATCCAATTAAATGTTATATATTTTATATAAGAATTGAATTTTGAATAATTCATTAACCTGAACTGTGCATTATAAAGTGAATAAAAATCAGTTTGGAGTTCCTTTGAAATGGTGTTGCCATGCAGCGTGAAAACCTCCCTTCTGTCAGTTCCTCTGCAAAAATCTCCCTCTTATTAAGATTTCAAAATTGGTAGGTATGAGATAGATATAGATAGAAGTTTTAAATTCATTGGAATTTTGATTTAAATGCATATGAAAATTATGTATGCTTAGCTTTAGTTATAAATCGTGTTAAATGTGGCAGTGCTCAAAATAAAAGCAAGAAGATTAAAATAATGTAATTTAAACTGTATAAGATACTTAAATAAATATGCATCATAAAATCAATCATTTCATCACTTGTGATCACTTCAAATGCCTGACGATACAGTTGTGGCACTTTATGCATATTCAAAGTAATGAAGAAAACTGCAGTAATCATCATCATATTCAAAATTAAATCTTTTTTCTGTTTTAATCACACTTTTCATCCTTGTGCAATTTATTATTACCTTAAAGTTTGCACTATTTAAATGCTGCAGTGTGGCTTATGGCTTCTGTATCCTACACATGTTAGGTCATTTTGAGAGTTTTTATTACTGATAAAATATAATATTTGCATGTTTCTCAAATTCTGATGTGACAAATTCAGTTACAACCACTGTAGACACTTGATTATGTGTAATGTTGTTGACGCAACCATAGACATATCATTGGTCAGGAATATAATGTGATGCACATGTGCATAAAATGCATTCTAATATATGATACATGGTAGCTGGTCCACAAAATTATTGTGGTGTGTATATCTAAATGTACACAAAATGTTGTCCAAATTTGATTTCCAAAATAAATAAAAAAAACAAAGCAATTCAGTTTCCTTTCTGATAGACCATGTTTTTCAGTCTGGTGATTCTAAAGAATCATAACTGTCATATTCATCCTGAAGTTTCTACATTGTCATCATTAGAGATGTTAATTGTATCATCACATCAAAGTTTCTACAATGTGTAAGAGAAAGACAAGATCCCAAGTATTTCTTAGATATTCAGTTATGTTAAATTAAATTCATTATGTCAGTCATTCTAGGTGCCCAATATCATTTTTCAAATAAACATAATCTGATTTAATTCTGCTTTCTCAAACCTTCATGAATAAAACTTTCTGAATCTTAAAAATATGAATATAGGATGTATTGATGTCTGGCACTTGTTTGATTTCATAGTCTTGTTAAATAAAGATACTCTGACAGTTTGTGGACAGAATTTAGTTTCTTCAAGATCTGAAGCATCTACCTGATCATGTAGGTCCACAGGTTGTTCAAAGTACTTGGTATGGGGATCAGGACCCCTCCCCCCATTTTCTAAAAGCATGAAAAAAAAATTTTTTTAAGGCCTTTTTTTTTTTTTTTTGTCTTAAATAAATGTTATTTGTTGTCTTAGAAACACCATGTTTTGTAGAGTGTGACTTACATATCTGGTGAAGTAAATGCTATGATTAAATAACTTGACTAGTCTAAAATTTTTTGAAAGAGATAACAGCTATACTATTTGAAACAGAAATTCTGTTCATCCTTTCTGTGCTTCTGTAAATCATTTAAGCTAGTTATTTAAATCATAATGTCTGCTATAATGAATCATTTAATGACATCTTTAAATTATAAGTGTTACTTAGTGCTGAAAAATCTGTTTTTCCTCTCTAGTCAATTCACATTTTTTTAGGATATTATTTTATGTTGGTTGCTCTTATTTGCTAGTTTACATAAATAAGATCATGTTATTTTTGTGGGATTCATGCAAATTCATGCATGTAGATGCACTTCTCATGCTTGTATTTTGAGCATCACTGTAATACAAAACATTTTTCAAAATTAAAGAGTTTGTTAAGTTAAATGCAAAACTTTTCCCATTGCTTTGTACAAATAAATTTTATTACAAAAATAGGGCAGATAAAAAAATTGTGTGTATGGAAGAGGCAATAAATGAGTAAAATTTGTATTGCATTATAGAATATCTATACTGATCCTTCAAGAACAGAGTAATGTCAAATTACCAAAACAATTACAATATTTGAATATGTAAATAGCTCAAAATGTGTTGAGGTCCTGCATATTAATAGGAAATTGCAGATCTCAGTTTACTATAAAATCTTATGGGTTTTTTTATTAAATTATTAATCATTATTTAATTATGACAAAGCAAAGGAGGAATGCTTAATTCTAAGAGGGTGCCTTTTGTAGAAATCATGCCAGGCTGATTTAAAATTTTATTGCACAAACAAAAATCATAAAAGTCATCACTTAGCCTACCTGCTTGATTGGGAATAGCTGTTGTGAATAGATTTGTGCCTTACATTGACTGAAAATTGATTCCAGATTAGCTCAAACAATATACTAATCAAAAATATTTTTGTGCCAAAAATCTGATTCTGTCCATTTTTTTAACCATTTGTGTAAAATAATTTATAAGGATATGTAAGAAAATAAAATGTAATTAATTCTTGAAATTTAACTCATTTAATATTAATGCAGAAAAATATTAAATCATGTAACATTTTCTGCAGTTTTTGAGTAAAAAGTTATGTTTGGATATATTGCCAATGAATTACAACATCAGCCTTTTTATAAGAATTTGTATTCAACTCAAATCAG